AAAGAAATCCCAACTGGACGCATCTGCGGACATTTAACTGATATTAATTATTCATGATGTCATTGTTTAATCATGAGTGGGTGTGTGAAAGTAAACATGACGTTTTAAAGATTGAATTCAATTCGATCGCAGAGATGGATACTTTAATTTTTTTAAGCGCAACGATGAAACTTTCATCCATGTTTACTGAAAACAAGTCGATTTAAATGTCAATTATGTATATATATAGTCTTTCAAAATCGCCGGGATATCAGAAGTGAAAGGTCACGTACATTAAACATAGATAAGAGATGACGTATAAAGCTGCACTTTGGATTTTAACATGTGCTCCATGATTTTAATTAGTATAATCACCGGAGTGATTTTGCTCCAGTTTTCACTCCAACGCAAGGGGTCGCCTGCAGATGCGTCCAATCGGGATTTCTTTTGCAGTCACGCTAGTTTTTGCGATCACATTAAAAAGGCTAAATTGACAATTAATTATAATTTTTTGTAAAGCTAAAAAAAAGTCCCGACTTTGCCAGTCTAAGTACACACTTACCTAGGTAACTTGCTCCAAGTAAAAAGTCAATTTATCTCTGCTGATTAACCTTGAATATTGTGTATATCATACGTCATGAAAGACGGGAATCGTTCAGTTAGCGAAGCATTCATGAGTTCAGTTTTTAAATGTCAATTGCTAAGAAATGATTACCGGTAGCAAGTAGCAAGGTCATAACATAGTCATTGTAAACCACATGAGGTGGAGAAACTGTTAGATCAGTACAGCCACGGATAAAGAATGATAGCGCTTCTCTTTAACAATAGTATACGCGTTTGTTCTCTGCTATAAAGGAGAATATTCTGCTAAAGCACTATGAAATAGACAGAACTGATTAACAGCAAGAAAAAACAAAAAATTGACATATTCAAACTAAAATACAAATAAATATATGAAATGTCATAAAAAAAAAAAAAAAATTTGAGCCTCATACCTACATTGGATTTTAATCAGATTGATATCAAACACTAAATGACAAAATCTTTATTGTAAATTGATATGTAATTTTTATTTGCCAGTTTTATTAAATCTTTATGAATATAGATTGAAACAAACAAACAAGTGTTTACATAATGGCATTGGTGGTACAAAAATTTTTCAAAATAAATTAGCTTTTGAGTTAGCTGAGATTGTTGTGCATCACTGATATATGATATATATTGTTTTCATTGCCAGTAATATTATTGCACTGTCTGCGAACTAATTTTAAATACTGTAAAACATGTTGAAAAAGCGGCATGCAATTTTAGCGAATTGTGGTAAAAGGATGTAATAGCGAAATGTTGATTTAGCGAATTTCTCTTGTCATTGTTGATTTCTTTGTTTGGCGGCCATTTTGAATTTATAATAAAGTCATTAGCGACATCTTGAATTAGCGAATCAATTCTCACACTAAATTTGCGAAAAAGACATGCTCGCGAAAAAGACATGTTAACGAACGACACCTACGCATCTATATAGAGTTGCACTATACAAAGTGATCGCACAGCAGCGATTAATAAAGTTTCCGGATTTCACAGCAAGCATATGGTATCGCGACCAGATGAGTGAATCCTGTTTTTTGAACATTTTAGCATGATGTTAGTTTGTTTTTAAAAAGGGCATGCATACAATTTGATGCAAAGAAGATTACTGGTCACATGTTCTATATGGCAGACACCCATTGGTCAGCTGAAGATATGTTACAGCATTCTATAAATTGTAAATAGGCATCTCCCATTGAAAAGTTTTAAAAAGCGCACGGTCCTGTCTTTCACAGGCTATACATTTATTTTTCTAAAACATGCAGCAGTATGTCTGCTACTGCTTTTTTTATTTTTGATACATAATTTATTTATTTTTCATCTCTGGTATTGTACTGACCCAAGCACTTTTGCATTCAGTTCTTGATTAAACAGTGCATGACAGTCCGACAACAACGTCTAATTACGTCTCTTCTATCTAGAAAAATTTTGAAAATTCACTCGCATTGCACTGAATATTTTAAATAGATTAAAATTTGTAAATACAGACCATCATCTCTCATTTATGCGCGTATGCCTTCACACGTAACATAGCAACTACAACCGCCTACTCATTCAAAATGAGGCACTTGCTTATTTTAACCATTTTACAGCAATTTAGAAAAGTGGAGAAAGCCAATAAGTTTACCACGACAATAAGAGATTAACTGTTTTGAATACATGTTTGTAATAAAAGATGTTCTACAAGTGACCGAGAAATAATTTCAATTTTATCAGTGAGATGACTTTTTGATTTGTAAACTTTCACTGCAGGAATAAAATCGGATTCCTAAATTAAAAGTGATTAGATGTGAAGTAGCATTAAATGAAAAATTGATAAATTTTTACTAATAAGTTAGAAAATGATATATTTCTTGCAACCTAAATTAGATAATAGATATGATGTGTAACTAACAGCTTAAACAAGATGTCCACAAAATTCATTTATTTAATAATTTCTTTGAGTGCCAAAGTCAACTTTTGGCACTATTCACAAAATTGAACCATAATTTTTTCTAGATTTATTTCAAAATTTTTATCAAGGCCTATAGGCAATGGAGAAAATGTTATCCACTTGTTTCAAAGTTATCCAACATATTTTTGAAAAATTCATAAAAATCAAAATGATGCATCAACATTTTGGCGGGAAATTTTTTACCTTTTTTTACACCAAACTTTATCGCCCACATTTTTCTGCATTTTTTTTCTGATATTCTTCAATATTTCTAGAAATGAACCCCAATTTTGGAAACAGCAAACAAAATTTGTGTAATTTTTCAGTTTTTATTCAAACAATTTGGCTATTTTTGTCCCAATCTTTTGAAGTAAAACGCAGACTATAAACTAGACTTTTTTGTGAAATTTTGCCGAAAAGAAGAAACTGGTGGTGAAAAGGTTAAACAAGATGTGAAAAGTCACAAGGTATGCATATGCTACAACAAATTGATTTTGTTTATTTCTGACAGAATCACATAGAAGAATAAGTACGCTGAATCATTAAAATATGATATGTCGCGTATGTATAGTTTTACAACGCTGACAAATGAGTAATTAGTAGACGAAAAAAAATATACGATGCTCAACTTACAAACGAATTAGTGGATGAAAAAAGATACGCTATACTAATATATACTGTTATACAAAGTTATTACCGGTAGTTGATAAAAATAAATATGCTTTGCTCAGCCTTTTGAAATGACTTAAAAATAAATATGCCGTTCATGTAATGCACAAGTTATTAGTGAGTTAATATTTTTAGTCCCCGTTCTGATGCAGTCCAAAAAACGAGGACCCATGGGTTGATGTTTGTACATCCATATGTGTGTGGG